TTCTCCTTCTCTAAGCCTTGCTAGTACAGTGGTCTAAGGCACCCTGTTATTAAGCTGGTTATTAAGACCAGCTGCCTGCAATTACTGCAGGTTCGAATCTCGCCAAGGCTCAAGGTTGACTCAGCCTTCCATCCTTTCTAAGGTAGGTAAATTGAGGACCAAGTTGTGGGGGCAATAAAATGACTTTGTATAAATATACAAAAGGATGAAGGCTATTGCTGAGCACATTGTAAGCCGCCCTGAGTCTCCGGAGAAGGGCGGCATATAAATCAAATTAAAAAAAAAATAATCATGAGCCTCGAGCTAAGCTTCAAAGAAATCCAGTTATTTATTAGGAGCTTCATGTTGGCAAGTTCCCAAGTGAAGCCAGCTCTGACTCTACGTAATTTACACTCCAATTATGACCCTTTCCCCCCCCTCCTCCCAGGGTGTGTCATCAATCACATTCGCCAACTGGAGCAATTTCGCGGGTTGTAGAGGTCACTCCCCTTCGACTGCTGTAGGTATCCCTCGGATACAGCCTTGAGGGAGATAAGTGTGGAATGTGCATCTGTTTTTCGCTGCTGTGCAGTTTCGCCAGTTTCCCATTCCCCCCTGGCCTATTGCAACTCGAGAGCAGGCCAGGGATGCTTTGCGAGTTGACATTCTCATTGTCCATTGGACAGGGCCAGTGTGGTTGAAATCTGAAACATTGGTTGGAACCCAGCCCATAGGTCACCGGTTGAATGGATGTCAATCTTTTGAAGCTCCTCTTGATATTCAACCCAAACCCAGCGGTTGATTTTCTTGGTTTGGGAGTTGATCCCAAAGATCTGAGAGCCATCAGAATGTCTCCAATCCTCCTCTCTAGGTCCTTGTTTCTGGTGTTGACTTGCTCTCAGGATAGAGATAGTTCTTCTAACGTTCATCTGAAACCTCACCCTCTGTAGCTGAAAGCCACTTGAGATCCTGACATCGAGGTGGCATCCGAAGAGAAGCTTTCAGATCTCCTGGTTCAAAGCTCTTCTGCTTTTGACTGACCTACTTGTTCGGTTTTTGTCCACAGAGCCGCTATTTTAATTTTTTCCCTCAGCAACATTTCTGCGTTGAGGTAAATTGTTCTTGACTGGTGTTCTGAGTGATACAGGCATTTTTTTTCTCTCCTAGCTCTACAATAACTGATATTTAAATAACCTCTTAATAATGGAATATTTGGCTTCTGGAAACCAGCAAAAGCCATCTCTCGTGACCTTTTTATTTTCTGTTTTCGAAAAGAGGGACATTTTGCCCTCTCTCAACGATGCCTTCATCTCAATATAAGTAGTTCATTAGCTAATTGGGCCAGTGGAATTGAAACCTTCATCATTTTTTTTTTTCCTGAATGGATTTTTAAAATCAGGAAATTGCACTTCGGTCTTTGGCCTCCCCATCTGCTTCACGACAGCCTCCGCATTTATTAGTTATGGAATTATTTCCTTCCCTCCAAATGTTGCACAGGATTTATTTTTTTTAAAAAAAAATATGATTTTTTTTTTAAAAAATGGAAAGCTTAAATATCTATTATAAACATTTAGCACTCAGTCCCGTAAAACATCAAATACAGAACGTCAAAAAACATCAAATACAGAACATCAAATACACACATTCGATTACTATGCCTCAGTTTCTCCTTAGAAATATCATGACGGCGAATGTAAGAGCAGGAACCTGGAGGCCTTTTAATCTGAATTAACTGAAGTACTTATGGGGAAAAAAAATCCATTTGATTACTAAATGGTTCATCAACACTCTGGAATTCACGAACAACATCTCTAGCTCTTTAAGCACAAAGGCTGCTGACATGTGTCTTCTGGACTTTCAGGTCTTGTTCCTAGCAAGTCACATTAGTTTGAGGGATGGGTTTTGTAGTTCCTCGCGTTGGAAAATTCCACTTCATTGTGCTAAACTGATAAATGAAGTATCTGTAACTCAGATGTTGAACTGAGCATGGCGATTTGCTTGCAGAGCTTTCATTACCCAGCTGGGTTTGCAACTGGAAATAAACAGGCAGCAACCCCCCCACACTCACTAGCACTGATGACGTTACCCAGTTTGGTCATAAAACGTCTGCAAGGAAATTACCAAGCTCAGAGAGCACCAAGGACCCCACAGTAGTTCTTCTTCTTCTTCCTCCTCCTCCTCCTCCTCCTCCTCCTCCCTGCAAACTCCACTTGCTTCTAGCGCTGATGATGTTATCTAGTTCAGTCATAAGACGTCTGCAAGAAAACTACCAAGCTCAGAGAGCACCAAGGACCCCACAGTTCTCCTCTTCCTCTTCCTCTTCCTCCTCCTCCTCCTCCTCTTCCTCCTCCTCCTCCCTGCAAATTCCACTCGCTTCTAGTGCTGGTGATGTTATCCAATTGGGTAATGAAATGTCTTCAGGAAAACCACCAAGCTCAGACAAAACCAGACAAAGGTGAGACTAAGTGAAAAATTCAAGAGCAGCCAAATCTTCCCATGTTAAAGAGGGACAAATTCAAATCAGAAAGTCCCAGTTTTAATTGGGGTGCCTTCACTTTCCTTACTGGGCCTTGAATTAGCATAGTATGATAGTAAGAACCTACCACATCTGATAACTGCCTTTGTCCTTCAATGGAATCCTTTATGTCTTCCTCCACCCTTTCCAGAAATACAAGGATCATTTCATCCTCTAGAAAGCTCATCATTTTTTTCCCCAGCATCTCAAGGGAATTCTCTGAGTCTGGGAAAGTAAAAAAAAAAAGTGTGGGGAGAAACCCTCAAAGATGGCAGATGAAGTCCAGATGGAGATTCCAATCTTATCCAGCGATTTGTTTTGATCCAGTAGTCAAAAATAGGATCAAACCATTGAGAAACAAAAACTACTACAAGTGTCTTTGGGAAAAGTCCAGAGAAGAGCCACTCTCGGATGATTCAAGGCCTGGAGAGTAAAACATCTTGAAGAACGGTTGTAGGATTTGGGAATGATTTTCAGCCTAGAGAAAAGAAGGACCAGGGAGGACACGATAGCAGTCTTCCAGTATTTGAGGGGGCTGCCACAAAGAGGAGGGGAGGTCAATTTAGATCCTAAAGCACCAGAAAGCACAAGGAACAATGGATGGAAACTAATCAAGGAGAGAAGCAACCTGGAATTAAGGAGAAACTTCCTAACAATGAGGACAATTAACCAGTGGAACAGCTTGCCACCAGAAGTTGTGGATGCTCCAACACTGGAGGTTTTTAAGAAGAGATTGGATAGTCAGTTGTCTGAAATGGTATAGGGTTTCCTGCTTGGACTAGAAGACCTCCAAGGTCCCTTCTGGCTCTATTCTGATTGATGAACTATTACCGTGCCTTGACATACCACAGGGATGCGGTGGCTCAGTGGCTAAGACGCTGAGCTTGTCAATCAAAAGGTCAGCAGTTCAACGGTTCGAATCCCTAACGCCGTGTAACGGGGTGAGCTCCCGTTCCTTGTCCCAGCTTCTGCCAACCTAGCAGTTCGAAAGCACGTAAAAAAAAAAATGCAAGTAGAAAAATAGGGACCACCTTTGGTGGGAAGGGAACAGCGTTCCGTGCGCCTTTGGCATTGAGTCATGCCAGCCACATGACCACGGAGACGTTTTCGGACAGCGCTGGCTCTTCGGCTTTGAAACGGAGACGAGCACCGCCCCCTAGAGGTCAGGAATGACTAGCACATATGTGCGAGGGGAACCTTTACCTTTAACATACCACGGTTAAAAAAAATGAGGGTTAGAGAAATCCTTTCTGCTTTCCAAGACTCTGTAACCACATCTCGTGTTCCTTGTATTCAACTTCCGTGAGGCTCTTTGTGAATTGAGCTTTCTTGGTCAGGGCGTTGCTGTTAAAAACTCAATCGACAAAAATCAGCCTTTTACCCCAGGAAGTTTCTCCCCATCTTTAGCTGAAATCTACAGCAGCTTCTTCGTAACATCCACCCTTCGCATCTCCTCCTGCCCTTTGCAATGCCGGAAAAAACCCTGGTTTCATCTCCTATCCTTTGTGTATGTGCTGAAGCTCTATCCCTTCTTAAGCATCCTCCTCCCCTCCCAGCTAAACCGCATTAACTGCTAAAGCATATGTTAGAGAAATGGAGAGCAAGGTGGGGCTTATAAAAAAAATGAGAAATATTGGCTGCCTTCCACAGAATTTGAATATCTTTCTCTCTGTTTCTCTTTCTGCGTTTTTCTGTTTCTCTCTCTCTGCCTCTGTATCTTTCTCTCTCTGTTTTTCTCTCTGTGTGTGTTTCTCTCTCTCTCTTTCTCTCTCTATATATATATCTTTTTCTCTCTGTTTCTCTCTCCTCTCTCTCTCTCTCTCTCTGTGTGTGTCTCTATATCTTTCTCTGTCTCTGTCTCTGTTTTTTCTCTCTCTATATATATATCTTTCTCTCTCTCTCTCGTGTTTCTCTCTCTCTCTCTCTCTCTCTCTCTCTCTCTCTCTCTATATATATATATATATATATATATATATCTTTCTCTGTTTCTCTCTCTCTATGTGTGTCTCTATATCTTTCTCTCTCTCTGTTCTCTCTCTCTCTCTCTATATATATATACATATATATACCTTTCTCTGTTTCTCTCTCTTTCTCTCTGTGTGTATATATCTTTCTCTGTCTCTGTTTTTCTCTCTGTGTCTCTATATCTTTCGCTCTCTGTGTTTCTCTCTCTATATATGTATATATCTTTCCCTCTCTGTGTGTGTCTAATCTTTCTCTCTGTTTTCTCTCTCTCTGTGTATCTTTCTCTCTCTCTTTGTTTCTCTCTGTGTGTCTCTATATCTTTTTCTCTCTCTCTCTCTGTTTTTTCTCTCTCTGTGTCTATATCTCTCTTTTCTCTCTCTCTCTCTATATATATATCTTTCTCTCTCTTTTTCTCTCTCTCTGTGTGTGTCTGTATCTTTTTCTCTCTCTGTGTGTGTGTGTATCTTTTTCTCTCTCTCTGTGTGTGTGTGTCTCTCTCTCTTGCGCTCTCTCTCTCTGTTTCTCTCTCTCTCTCTCTCTTTCTCTCTCTCTCTCTCTCTTTCTCTCATTTTTTTGCATCACCACCACATGGCAGCAAGAGGCAGACTGTGCCTTCAGCATCTTCCCTTTCTCTCTTTGCTAGCTGCTGGGTCCTTACCGCGGGGGTTTTGTGTGTGTGTCTCTCTCTCTCTGTGATGAAGGCCTGTTTGGTTTGCTATTTTTTGCACCCAGTCTGAGAAAACCAGGGGATCGACCAACGAAGTAGATCCTGGGTCGGTGGAGGAGAAAAACGAGGAGATTACCGTTATTTTTTTTAAATTTTTCCTTCATCCCCTGAAGAAAACACATTGCAAAGCCATGGCTTGGATGACGGATCCTTCATGCTTTTCAGAAGCTGGATGGGGTGGGGGGGCTTCCCGCCGCTGCTGGGCTTGATTTGAGAAGGGGGGATTGTGGGGAGAGAGAGAGAGAGAGAGAGACAACCGTCTTCATCCCAGCCTTGAGATGCTCGCCCCCAGGATGACGGTGAGATGTTATTCACGGAGGGAAGATCTCTCCCAAAAGCTGACGAGGTGAGTGTTGGCTGGAAACAGAGACAGACCGGCTGGCTTCAAAAATGGAAAACTGACATTTTGGGAGCCTGATCTGACTTTGGGGTGGGGGGAGTGGGGGAAAGGGGGGGGGGGGGGAGAAATGTGAGAGTATTGGGTTGAAAAAAATCAGTTCTTTGGCACCTGGTGATGCTGTAAGTTGAACAGGTTTCGTGTTTAGGGAAGAGAAGCTCGGTCCAACTTCTAACCCTCTTTCCATCAGTCTCTCGTGGGGAGTTTTTTTGCCTCGGTGCCCCTCTTCCTGAATCCAAGGCAGAATCGCTCCTCTCCTTAAAAGAAGGTGTGTCTCTGTAGAAGTCAGGGCTTAATCAAGGAAGAGAACCAACCTAGAACTCCAGGAAAAATTTCCCAATCAATCAGTGGAATGACTTCCCCCCCCAGAAGTTGTGGACGCTCCATCACTGGAGATTAGACAAGCCATTTGTCTAAAAGGATGTCGGCTTTCCTGCTCTGGAAGGGTGTTAAGACTAGAAGCCTTCCAATTCTGTTACCCTGTTTTTAAAAGCTGTGGAACAGGGAAGCTTTGCCTACCGGTGAAGGGACTGCAAAGATTTAGCAGAAAGCGCTTCCTTTGGGGAGGTTGACCTGTTACGTGTCCATGCCAATCGCTGCTGGGGTTCGTTTCCTTTGTCCCCCAGATCGGAGATTAAGGCAGTGAGTCCTCGGTAACGCTCCTGCCATTTTGTAAAAGTAGGGGGGTGAGGTGCTTCAATCTGACTTAAATTCCCAGTGAAAAACTCTAGTTGCTCCTGAGTCAAAATAATACAGCATGGTTGACACCAACTCTCGGCATCTCTTAGGGTTGTCCTGGAGACGCCAAAAAAATTTTTTTTTTAACCTGGAACATTCTGCATACAAAGGAAGAACTCTGTGCTACACGGTTGCAATCAAAGTTTTGCTGTCGGCTGTGACTTTTTCTCATTAATCCAAACAACTCGAGGCACAATGAGACAGCAACACAGACGGATATATTCTGCCAGTCACGACTGAGCTGCTGTTCAAACCTTGGATTGACTTAATTCATCATCTATAGAGGAGTTGGGTTGATTTAATTCATCATCTTTAGAGGAGTTGGGTTGACTTAATTCATCATCTTTAGAGGAGTTGGGTTGACTTAATTCAACATCTTTAGAGGAGGTTGGGTTGACTTAATTCAACATCTTTAGAGGAGTTGGGGTTGACTTAATTCATCATCTTTAGAGGAATTGGGTTGACTATAATTCAACATCTTTAGAGGAGTGTTGACTTAATTCAACATCTTTAGAGGAGTTGGGTTGACTTAATTCAACATCTTCAAATGAATTGGGTTGACTTAATTCAACATCTTTAGATGAGTTGGGTTGACTTAACTCATCATCCTTTTTTTGGTGGAGGAAAGAAAACTATAGTTAAAAGGTCTGGGAGGGGTTGGTTTTGTTTGCCCCTGCCCTAGTGTTCTTAAAAGGGTTTCAACCATTCCAGGACTGCCTAGTTTTCCTGCAGCCCACTCCAAAGATGTGACGGTCATTGTAGAGAAACCCTCTGTTGGATTCCAGAAGATCTGTGTTCAGCCTTCTTTGGACGCTAGACGGAGGAGAATTAGCAGACGCTCTGGCTTTTTGCTAACTTGGCACATCCTCTCTTCAAATTCATGGTTTAGAATAAATCGCCCTTCGTATTAAAAAACAAACAAAACGGGCTGTGGATTTTGACGTGGGAAGCTATTCAAGAGCAGCTGGTAGAGCAGGATCAGAAGTTGAATTTGGGTGCTAGAATTTAAGAGAGGGAAGAATCTTTTTAAAAAGAGTTTGGATTTGTCTGAAATGGTGTAGGATCTCCTGTTTGAGCAGGGGGTTGGATTAGATGACCTCCAGAGTCCCTTCCAACTCTCTTCTTCTGATTGGGCAGACCAGCCCCTGACTGCTATAGCATTTTTAGATAAAACCTCTACAAATATAAAAATCTTCCCTCTTTTTGGCACCCTCTAGATGTCCTGAGCTATACATCCTCAACATTTACTGCCTATGTGACATAACAGTGGCTATAATCCAACGCATTTGAGATAGGAAAAGTTGGGGAAAGATATTGACCGGAATCCACCGAATACTTTAAAACCTTCTTTCTAGAATTAAGCTTCTTTGAAAAAAAAATAACAATATTTTACCATCTTCCCTCTGTGAATGTTATTTTTCTCGGATTTGGGTGGTTTTTTTTTTCCAAATGCTTACTCCGAGTGGGATTTATTTGGTTTTGACCTTGCAATGAATGGGAGAACTATAAAAGCAATGTAAGACAAAGAGAAATAGATGCTCTTTGAAAAAACGTATTGAATTAGGTCATGACTGAGGAAGTGGATTTTTAGACCAAAAAGAAATTCCCAATGGCCCATGGAATAGAATATTAAAATAATCTGCCGTTCTGGTATTTTATATCTGGATTTTATATACTGCTTTTGTGAATTTTATGTCTTTATTCTGTGACGCCGTACGAAATAAATAAATGGCATTGACTGAATGAAGGTACATTACCTAATCCACATTGCTTTGATGAAATTCTTCTCTTAGGGGTAGTGAAAAAGAAAAAGGAATGCCATAATTTTTGCTCAAGGTGGAGTCTAGAATCGTAGAACAGGATTCAGGAAGGGAAACGATGAGGAAATATTGACTTTAAAAGGGTGGAACAACCGTCTGCCTCTTCATTCTGCTCTCCCATCTTGGAAAAAGTCCTTTCGTTGACTTTTTAGCACTTGCTTTGAGCGCCGAAATCCAGAACGCACGCAATTGTACGACCGCAATTGAGCCCATCATTTCTGTGGTTAAACGAGACAGTTGTTAAGTGAACGTTGCCCGATTTTGCAACCTTTCTTGCCACAGCATCATAAATGCCATCATAAATGCGAGTCCGTTGCCAAGCATCCGAATTCTGATCACGTGACCGGGGGGGGAAATGCTGCAACGGTCGTAAGTGTGAAAAACGGTCATAAGCCACTTTTTTCTGTGCCGTCGTAATCGCGAACGTATCAGTGCTCCAGAAAAACCTCTGCTCCAATTAAAAACTCTGAAGCAAGTATTTTCTGAAAGTTCCATTTATTAGAATAGGTAAACTGGCACATCTGGGAAAACCTGAATCTGAGAATTCTGGGTTTCCCCTCAGTAAATCAAACCCCCCAAATCCATCTCCTGCACCCATCAGCCCATTACATGGTCCAATTGTCATCCATCCTATCTCGAGACACCATTCCAACCACTCCTTCTCCAGATGCAGGACTGTCCTGACCTTGACCGAAAAGAAGAATGCTATTTTGTCTACATTCCCTTTACTAAATCCCCCCTCCTCCTACTTTCCGCACACACGAGAAGGTGGCAGCTTGGAAGCTTCCGATGCTAATATGGCTTCCAAGGCTGACAGAATGGTCACTAAAGGAACTGTTGTAAGTGGAGGACTACCTCTACTTGGCTGGAATCTCAGGGCCTCCCTTCTCCCTAAGAAAATGTAGGTTGCTAAGGGCAGTTCCTTGATCTTCTCCTCCTCACTTCTCCTACTGCTGAGAGTGCGGCAGACAATTCTGCATGGAACTCTCATGTAAGACTGCTCAGAATCAGAATCGAAGGGACCTTGGAGGTCTTCTAGTCCAACCCCTTGCTCAAGCAGGAGACCCTATACCATTTGAGACAAGTGGTTATCTAATCTCTTCTTCAAAACCTCCAGTGATGGAGCACCCACAATTGCTGGAGGCAAGCTGTTCCACCGGTTAATTGTCCTCCCTGTTAGGAAATTCCTCCTTGGTTCTAGGTTGCTTCTCTCCTTGATTAGTTTCCATGCATTGTTTCTTGTCCTTCCTTCTGGTGCTTTGGAAAAAAAGTTGATCCCCTCTTCTTTGGGGCAGCCCCCTCAAATTTTGGAAGACCTCTATCATGTCCCCCCCGAATCCTTCTTTTCTCTAGACTGGCCAAACCCAAATCCTGCAACCGTTCTTCATATATGTTCTTCTTTTAATTAGCAATTTTATGATGTTTGTGTGTCTATATTTTTCTTGACTGTACACCGCCTTGAGTCCTATGGGAGAAAGGTGGTATAGAAATATAATAAATAAATAAATAAATAAATAAATAAATAAATAAATAAATAAATATACATTTTTGTCTCCAGGCCTTGAATCAATCTTAATTGCTCTTCTTTGCAACTTTTTCCCAAAGTCTCAACATCTTTTTTTGTAGTGCGGTGACCAAAATGGGACACATTACTCCAGGTTGTGGCCTTCCTAAGGCTTTATAAAGCGCTACTAACACTTCACCCAGTTTTGATTCTGTGCCTCTGTTTATCCAACCAAGGATTGTTTTGGCTTTTTTTGGCGGCTGCTGCTGCAGCTGTGCTAATGCTACCAGTATTGTATGAAACTGCTCGCGGGCAAGATAAATTGGCAAGTTTCCAGTGTTCTGAATTTGCATGGAAGCCACGACGAAACCTTCATTTGTATGTTTGTTTGGACTCGAATTTGCTGCTTGCTTTTTCTTCAGAAGGCTGCCGGTGCTTCCAACACTGAGATGTTGGGCATCCTACATACCGTATTTTTCGGAGTGTAAGGCACACCGGACTATAAGACGCACCTACCTTTTTGGGTGAGGAAAACAAGAAAATGAAATCTGCCTCCCAGCAATTTTGCTTCGTTGCAGCAAACAGCAAACAGCCTGCTTTACTTTCATTTTCATTTTCAGCATAGCTTGATTAGCACAAGAAAAAAAAAATCTGCTCCCAGCAATTTTCCTCCTTGCAGCAAGCAGCAGAGGCCTGGGCAAAACAGCTGAGAGCAAAGCAGCTGAGAGTCGGGAGGCCGATCCAATCAATTTGTGCTAATTAGGCTGTGCTGAAGCTGAAAGGAGCTGTTTCTTCTTACTGCTTCCAGCAAGGAGGTAAATTGCCCCACCAGTGGGTGGGCAGGTTTATATTCAGTGTATAAGACACACCTAAATTTTCACTCCCTTTTAGAGGGGAAAAAGGTGCGTCTTATACTCCAAAAAATATGGTAGGTACTCGAAAGTTTTGTGGTGAAACACACCGTTTGTGATCCTGGTTAGCGCCACAAAAGTGGAGCATTGAAGATCAACTGAAGAAATGCTTAAAGGCATGACAAAGTTTATGAGGCTGTGAGAGTTTGAGTGAGGGTTATTTATGTATTTAGTGTATGGCCTATTATACGTGGACTAACAATATACATTTCAATTAGATTAGTAGAATCCAATAAAATATAAATGTCAGAAAGATCTAGGTTCAAATATTAATGTCTGGGCCATCTAACCATGAAAGCACAGTAAAATTTATATATATAATATATCTCTCTATCTCTCTATCTCTCTATCTCTCTATCTCTCTATCTCTCTATTTCTCTATCTCTCTATCTCTCTATCTCTCTATCTCTCTATCTCTCTATCTATCTATCTATCTATCTATCTATCTATCTATCTATCTATTTATCTATCTATCCACATTTATTTCTCATCCCTTTTTCTTTTCCCTTTCACTTCCTTCACTTCCTTTTGCATTTTACATATCCGTAAGCTTAATAAGATGATTATTATTTTTTTTTAAAAGTCCACATCCTTCCCACGACATTAGTTTCCTTTTTAAAAAAATTTGTACAGATTTGCAAAGCGATACTTCCCCCCCCCCTCTGCTTTCCTCTGCCATCTGTCTCAGACATGGCTTTGAAGGTCATCATCACCGTTTCACCCTTTTCTTTCTTGTATACAGCCCACTCCCCAATATCCCCCCCTTTTTTCCTGTGGGTGGGACTCCAGGGCTGTAAACAGTTGTTTGCTTGTGTGATTGTGTGTATTTCTGCTCAGAAGGGGAAAAGGAGGGATTTGAAGAACGGGGAGCATTTCCTGGTCTCGGGGTTGAAAACTACAAGGAAGATAAGGTCTATTCTGGTCCTTCCCATGGAGCTGGGACAACCAGCTTTCTACTACACAAGAGGGACTCTAAGCCACACCTGGGAAGTACCATTTTTGTGAAGGAGGGAGTCTTAGTATTTACTGGAGGGAGTCTTAGTATTTACTGTTTGCATCCAACTGCAGGGGGAAAGGGCAACCTGTCTCCAGTCTCTCACTCTCTTCCCCTCCTCTTTTTCCTCCCAGATTCAAAGCATCCCCAGGAGGAGGCGGGAAAGCTGGAGGAAGCAGCACCAACAAGAGTGGGGTCATCCTGGACATCTCCTCCTTGACCATGAACGAGCTGGACTCCGAGGTCCTTCCCCTACCACCTCGCTATCGGTTTCGAGACTTGCTCTTGGGCGACCAGAGCTTCCAAAATGAGGACAGGTAAGACGACACAATGGGACGAAGAAGGAAGAGGTGTGTGTGTGTGGAGCTGCGAAAGAAGGGCGTGGAGCTCAGGTTGCGGGGGGGCTCAAGGTGATAGCTGAGGCAGCAGGATATGGGGAGCTGTCCATGGTTCTGATTCCTGCCTTTCTCCTTTGAGTGCAACTCCATGCCAATGGGAATTTATAGGCTGAGCTCTCCTTGGTGCTGATCCTTGGCGGACCAGGAAAATTCCATTGGTGACTCTAACTTCGCACTGTTGTTTATAGGTTGGTGTGAGGTCCAGATTCTGTTCTGGTGATCTGTTTGATTGTGCTGATCGTACTATCCAGATAGGGCCCTGTCTAACTTTGCTGTTGTAGACTTAAATTTGCGCAAGAATTAATCTTGTTCTTACCTATCTAGTGATTCTTTGCTGAAGGATGATTTTATTCGCGTTGCTCAAACACCTTTGGGGGAACATTCTGATGATTTGTTACTCTTGGGTTTTCATGGGGGTGGCAGGAGGGGGAAGAGGTTGCAAATTGAAGCCAGTTCGAAATGCGGAATATAATATTGTTTATGGAGGTAATCGTACTGAAGTAAAATCTGGTTATTCTACAAACCTTTGGGAGGGGGGAGTAAACACAGCTGAGCTTAATGCGGCTCACTTCTGCCTACCTAGGAAAGGTTTATACAACCTACCATCCTGTGGTTTACTTAATTGTGTTTGCAGAAACAAAGTGCATTTGCGGTGGATTTGCCCAATTTGCTAAGCCGTTAACCTGGTTACGAACAACCACAGATGGTGTTATACAACGTATCGAGTGAAAATGGACCGCATTGTAGTTGTACTTTGTATGAGTCAGGCCACGAGATTAACAGAAGACCTTGCTTAAGGTTTAGTTAATGTTGATCTTAATTGCTTATTGTCTCCGTGTGTTTCAAATCAATCGGGTTAGTTTGTAGTTCTGTGTATCGGGTGAATCTGGGGAAAAAAAGAGTTAATATAGCAATCAGCATGGTAAATGTGAACCTAGTTTGTTGCTGTTAGTTGTGAAGTCATGTCCGACCCATCCCGACCACAAATGGACAACGTTCCTCCAGGCCTTCCTGTCCTCTACCATCCTCTGGAGTCCATTTAAGCTCACACCGACTGCTTCAGTGACTCCATCCAGCCCCCTCATTCTCTGCTGTCCCCTTCTTCTTTTGCCCTCCATCGTTCCCAGCATTAGGCTCTTCTCCAGGGAGTCCTTCCTTCTCATTAGGTATCCAAAGGATTTGAGTTTCCACTTCAGGATCTGGCCTTCTAAAGAGCAGTCAGGGTTGATCTCCTCTAGGACTGACCGGTTGGATCGCCTTGCAATCCAAGGGACTCGCAGGAGTCTTCTCCAGCACCATCGTTCAAAGGCCTCCATTCTTTGGCGCTCAGTCTTCCTTATGGTCCAACTTTCTCAGCCATCCATTGCAACTAGGAACCCCATAGCCTTGACTATACAACTTTTGTTGGCAGGGTGATGTCTCTGCTGTTTAGTTAGCTGTCTAGATTTGCCATAGATTTGCTCCTTTCCTCCCCAGGAGCAAGCATCTTTTAATTTCTTGGCTGCAGTCCCCATCTGTGGTGATCTTAGAGCCCAGGAAAATAAAATCTGTCACTGCCTCCATATCTTCCCCATCTATTTGCCAGGACTTGAGAGGACTGGATGCCATGATCTTAGTTTTCTTAATGTTGAGTTTCAGGCCAACTTTTGCACTCTCCTTCTTCACCCGCATCAAGAGATTCTTTAGTTCCTCTTCACTTTCTGCCATTAAAGTGGTTTCATCTGCATATCTGAGGTTGTTGATATTTCTCCCGGCAATCTTAATTCCAACTTTTGATTCATCTAGCCCCGTTGTGAAGCCTCAAATGTAACTCTGGTGGCCATTCATGTTGGGATAGTTACTTGTTTGCAGGAGGGTTCAAATGTTTTCGATAACAACTCCCACAACCCTTTGACAAGGGCTAAGCTGCTAAAGATGATGGGCACCAAAGTCTCAAATAGTCCAGAGCATAACAATATACTTTGAAGTTGTGTATTGCTTTTCCATGTTTTGCAACAAGGACTCTCGCTGGTGAAAACATTGAAATGCAGAGCTTTTTCCAAATATCCCTTTTAGTAGAAGGACCAGGGGTGACATGATAGCACCATTCCGATATCTATCTTTGGGCTACCCCAAAGAAGAGGGGGTCAACCTATTCTCCAAAGCCCCTGAAGGCAGGATAAGAAGCAACAGATGGAAGCTTAGCAAGGGGAGATCCAAACTAGAACTTAAGGAGAACTAATTTCCTGACAGTAAGAACAATCAACCAGGATATTGATATCAATCATAATAGCGGTAATTCCAGTATTTGAGGGGCTGCCCCAAAGAAGAGGGGTGTCAGGGCATTTATTAATCCCATGTTTGGCTCTGGGACTAATTACCCTGGTTTAGAGGAGATGAATCGAGGCTTATTCCAAGTTGCACTATTCTGAAAAGAAACGCGAGAAAGGTTTCTAATAAAACTCATTTATTTGTTATAAAGAAAATAAAACACCTCACTAACTAAGAAAAGTTAATTGTTACATTTTTGAAAGTAATTCGGGCCGGCTATCTTTCAGCCGGACCTTGCTGGAAAAAGAACAAAGGAAAAAGTGTGAGAGCAAGTGAAGGAATGTGGGTGGATACGGAAACACGTAGCTTACTGATAAGAAGTTGGCAAAGCTACGGAGAGTCTGACAGTCCAGAAATGATGAGTTCAGCTGGCAAATAAAATAACGCAGTGACAAGGGGGTCAACTTATTTTCCAAAGCATGAGAGGGCACGACAGGAAATAATGGATGGAACTAAGGAGAAACATCCTAACAGTGAGGACAATTAACCCGTGGAACAGCTTGCCTCCAGAAGTTGTGGGTGGTCCATCACTGGAGGTTTTTAAGAAGACATAGGACAACGATTTGTCTGAAATGGTACAGGGTTTCCTGCTTGAGCAGGGGGTTGGACTAGAAGACCTCCGAAGTCCCTTCCAACTCTGTTATTCTTTTACAGTTTCATGCTTTAATGAAACTCTTCTCTTGCCTTCCATCAGAACGGATATTGCCTTGAATTTTGCAAAACGCCCACCTATCCAGGCGTACGTCCTCTGCCCCTTGAGGAAAAGCTGTGTCAGATACCCAATTCTCTACCTGATTTTTCGGCGGGGAGATTAAAAGAAGGCGTTATTATGGCCTCTTGGATGCTTCTTGAATGCCCGGTGTCGAGAAATTTTTCTCGTAGGGGATTTGGAAAAATGGCCTGCAGCTCTCATTTTTTTTCCTGATCGCTTAAGGGCCATGTGGTACTCATTTTAAGGCAGGCACGCTTAGCTGTGTGCAAACAGAAAGGATTAATTTCTTCGCCTTGAAGACTGTGTCAGCACAGCCTTTCTCCAGCAAACCTCCGGTGGGCCTTGTCGGTTTCCAGGGAAGGAAAAAGCTCACGGATTTGATTTGAAAAAACAGCCTTGCCGAGTTGGAGATATGCATTTCTGGTGACCTGAAACCGCTTTTCTCTTTCTCGTTTCCACCTCCACTTTCCAATTTTCTATGATTTATGAAAGCGTCTTTGGAATTACGACCAAAACTGGGGCACTAACTGTTGCTTAGCTGCAAATGAGCCCTGGTGGAGTGGGGACAGCTTGAGTTAAAGCAAACAGTAACAATGCAGCTGGTGAAATTCCTCTTCTGGTTGACTTGCAACCCTCTGTCACTCCTTCTCTTTCTTCTAACAGAATGCTGAGTGGAATGACAGAGTTGGAAGGGGTCTTAGAGGTCTTCTAGTCCAACCCCCTGCTTAAGCAGGAGACCCTCTACCATTCCAGACAAATGGCTGTCCAATCTCTTCTTAAAAGCCTCCAGTGATGGAGCACCCGCAACTTCTGGCGGCAAGCTGCTCCACTGATCGTTTGTTCTCACTGTCAGGAAATTTCTCCTTAGTTCTAGGTTGCTTCTCTCCTTGATTATTTCCCATCCGTTGTGTCTTGTCCCACTTTCAGGTGCTTTGGAGAATAGGTAGACCCCCTCTTCATTGTGACAGCCCCTCAAATATCGGAAGACTGCTATCAAGTCACCCCTAGTCCTTTTTTAAAAAAAATTGATTTATATGCCACCCTTCTCCGGAGACTCAGGGCGGCTTACAATGTGTTAAGCAACTTTTGTATATTTATACAAAGTCAGCTTATTACCCCCACAGACTGGGTCCTCATTTTACCTACCTTAGAAAGGATGGAAGGCTGAGTCAACCTTGAGCCTGGCGAGATTCGAACTTGCAGTAATTTCAGGCAGCAGATGTAAGTGGATGTTAATAACAGTGCTTTAGTCTGCTGAGCCACCAGAGCTCAGCAGTCCTTCTTTTCACTAGACTAGACATACCCAATTCTGGCAACCCTTCTTCATAGGTTTTAGCCTCCAGCCCCCTAATCATCTTTATAGCTTTCTCTGCACTCTTTTTAGAGCCTCAACATATATTTTTTGTATTCTGGTGACCAAAACTGGATGGAGTATTCCAGGTGTGGCCTTCTAGTTTCCTGCACTGTATCCATGGCCATTTTCTGCTTGATATGTTTTGTGTTTTTTAAAGGAATGTGCAGAAAAAACAATTACTTCTCCTCCTCCTCTCCCCTCCTCCTCCTCTTCTTCCTCCTCCCCCCTCCTCCTCCACACACCACACTCCCTTCTAGCATTGTTGACATTCCCTAGTTAGGTCATGAAATGTCTGCAAGAAAATAACCAAACTCAGAGAGCACCAAGGATCCTGCAGTCCTCCTCCTCTTTCCCCTTCCTCTACTTCCTCCTCTTCCTCCCTTCCTTCTCTTCCCCTCTCCTCCTTCTCCCTCCCTCCCTCTTCCTCCTTCCTCCATTCTTCCTCTCCTCCTTCCTCCACTTCTTCCTCTGCCTCCTGCTTTCTCTTCCCCTTCCTCCTCCTTCTCCCTCCCTCCCTCTTCTCCTTCTTCCACTTCTTCCTCT